TCATTTAAAGTAAGGAATATGTGGCTAAAATTAATTCTCTCTCCTCTGCACAAATTTTAACCACACAATTTTTACTTTATTAATTCATGTGAAAGTCAACTTTGGTCAACCTTTTCGGGGCGGAGGGAGTATATATTTATCTTTGTCTTATCTGTTTTATCTTTTTTTTCTTGTTTGTTTTCCTTTTTTACATCAATATCATGGATCGGTTCATGTTAACCGACATCAAAATCTTTTGGAATTAATGCTTGGATGTTGATGTTTGTTGTTGTGTATACAGTAATCGTTTGATACCAAATTTGATAACGTTTGTGTGATTGTAAATCATTGTTATATTAATCTTACTTTATCAATTGAGTACAAATGACACGAACTCAATTTTCTTAATAATCACAATATATCTCGTATACCAAACTTTTGAAGGCGGAGGTGGTACAATTTTACACGGATAAAAAGGCTAGAAATTGTCCGGCATGCTCTTTGCCAAACATATATGGTACAAATATACTCTTAGTACACACTTTTTGAGGTACACACTTTTACACATTGTCTGTGCAGACATTTTTTTTATCTATACATACAAAACTTATTTTTTTTATCTATACACTATCTGTGCAGACGAAAATACGTTTTGTATGTATATATAAAAAAATGACTGCACGGATAGTGTGTAAAAGTGTGTACCCAAAAAGTGTCTACCTCAAATCCACCTCAAAAAGTGTTTCGACTCCGTCAATATTGTTTTTCTTCATCCGTGCACCGTCAATAAAATATACTCAACATATTTTTTATACCAATTTAGTAGAACATTAATTAATTTATTATAAGTAATGTTTTTCGTTTAATATTTTCCCTAAATAATTGTGAAATTAAAAAATAAATAAATTTCATTAATTTTTTTTAATGTTTTCGGTTAACAAAAATGAACTTAGTTCAAGTAAAGTTCGATTATGAAATATTGAGTTATTTGTGAAGATTCCATAAATTAAAAATTTGTGATTCAGGTTTTGTAGACGGAAGAAAACTTCAACAATTAAAACTTAAGAATTTTTGTTTCATTTTATATACTCCCTCCGGTTCCAAAAGATCTTGACACTTTGACTTCACAGTTTTAAGAAAATATACACTGTTTGGTATTGTTTCGCACTTTTTCGCACTGTTTGGCACTATTTTGTGTGGATTTATTTGCCAAATAAGGCAAATAAAGAAGTATAAAGATCTTTCTGGTACTACTAAAAATGGAAACTGTAAAGATATTTCAGAACTAGAGAGAGTATTACATATTGGTGTCATATGAAAGATCATACAACTTTATGAATTTTGATATATATTTTGAAAAATTTGAAAATCAAATAAAAAAGTTACAAAAGTTTAAAACAATTTGGGGTAATAATGATATCACCATGATGGCAGGGAACACATTTTGGCCCCAGCATACAGCGTACAAACCAGCCCATTCTTTTTTTTCTTTTTCAATTATTTTTGGGTGTTAACTTCTCCCTCTGTTCTTACACCCCTCCACTCCTCTTTCCATTTTTACTTCCCTTTCTAGATTTACTCCCCTTTTAATCCCCCACTACACACAAATAAGAGTCTAAAATCTCTATTTTTAATCTTTTGACTCCTAATCTCAAACCACTACAAATGGTCTAAATGGTATCCTTTGTTTTGTAGTCTTGTAGTGTGGTTGGAAAAGCGTACCCGTGATCAGTTGGAGTGACAGATAAAACATACTCCGTACTCCGTAAATACAGTATGAAAAAGCCAAAGAATGACAGTAAAGGACAAGGGTTTGATAAGCCCTAAGCAGATGGGATTTTACTCAATATATAAATTAATTAAAATCAAAGATTTGTTTGCTTTTGTTATTTTAGAGTGCATTGTTGATTGTTCTTGTCCCGCGGTCCCGCTCCTCAAAAGAAGTTGAAACCCATTAATATTTTCGCAAATTATACCGTGCAACCGGCGTAGCTTCACTCTCTCTTTCTTTTTTTGTTGATGGTGCGCCCGGTTGCAAAACGACGTAGCTTCACTCTCTCTCTCTTTTTTTTTTGCTTTTGTTGTTTAAAAATGATGATAACTTTCTTATTTTTGATCCGATTTTTATAAAATTTATATCGACATTTTTATTTTTCATGATCTTTCAAATGAGACCAATATTGCTTATGTAATGTTTAGAAATTATCGAACTATTATATTAATGAGTATTGGATTATAAGGAAAATCGAATCTGTTATGGAGATGATAGGTTTGTGAAATAGAAGATTGAATCTGTTTGGGAGTGGATCAGTGGCCTCAGTTACATTTGATAATACATTGAGTTACATCTTTTTATGAGCGAGTTACATCTTTTTATAAGCAAGTTACATCTTTTTATAAGCAAGTTACATCTTTTTAAAAGCGAGTTACATATATATAAACACGAGTTGCATTTGACATGCCTGAACGTGACTTACATATATTTACACGTAAAGTTACATATTTTTACACGTAAAGTTACATATTTATACACGCGAGTTACATATTTATACACACGAGTTGCATTTGACCTGTCTGAACGCGAGTTACATATTTTTTTACGTAAAGTTACATATTGTTACACGTAGAGATACATATTTATACACACGAGTTGTATTTGACCTGACTGAACGTGAGTTACATATTTTAACACGTAAAGTTACATATTTTACACGCAAATGTTAATATGTTAAAATTACATAGGCAATATTGGTCTCATTTGAAAGATCATGAAAAATAAAAAATATTGATATAAATTTTATAAAAATCGGATCAAAAATAAAAAAGTTATTACCATTTTTTAAAAATAAAAGGAAAAAAAAATATAAAACCGTACCGGTATACGGTGCTCACCGTATACCGGTCGTACGGTATAGGCACTCAATATCTTAGGTGTTGCATTGACTGTATTAGAAGGTGTTTGGAACTAATTCTGATTTTGCTTTTTTTAAAGTAGAAGTAGAATCAGAATCAGTTTTGAGAAGCTGGTCTCCACGGCTTCTAAAAAACTGATTCTATGAGTAAATTAGAGCACCAGAATCACTTCTGCACTTTCACCCAAACACTTCAACTTCTGCTTCTGCTCCCTGGAGGAGCAGAAGCAGTTTTAAAAATTAGATCCAAACACCTCCTTAGTATCGAAAAATAATGTCAAATGCGAGTATAAATTTGAGCATTTATAGACTAAAATATCTAAATAATAATGAAGTAGGACAAGGTTAGACCTTGAGTAGCCAATGGTGGCGTGAAACCTGATGTCGGGTGTCTGTAATCAATGGTGGCGTGAAACCTGAATGTCAAATACTTTTTATATTGTACGGATGAAGAATGAAATCATGAATCAAACTAGTACTATAATTCATATTTTATGATTTTGCGTCTCGAATAGTATAATAATCAAAATAAGTAAGGATAAAACTAAAACGTAGTATAAAGTTGTATTAGAAGTATAATGATGCAGTTTAATCCAACTACGAGAGCTATGTTGGAGATTTATTGAAAAATACAACTCAAGTATTAATTTATTGGTCCTTAAACATTTTATAAAGAAATGTTATTTTTATTTAAAAAAAATTAATCGTAATGGTCTAATGGTTGTTATTATTATGAGAATCACACGTGTGCACGTGTATGTTTGGTCTCATAATAATAATGTGGCTTTATTATGTAAATGCTCTCTTTCCATTTTAATGGATGTTGCACATTTTTAAATATACGGATGTGTATATTTTGCTTATTTGAATTGGGATTCTTTTATTAAAAGAATTTTAGAATTTCATTGCTTAGTAGACACGTACATTAAAATGGCCGCACCTTTTCAATGAAAGAGCATTTCGGTTGGTTTTTTAACTACCTTTTTCAAAGGGTTTCGTTTTCATTATAAATAGAAGGACCGTGTAAAATTGAGATGAAGGGAAAAGCCAGTTTGTCAACCTTACTCTATTTGCCTTACTCTATTACTCTTATTTGCAGTATTAGTAATAAAGTGTTTAGACCACTTTATATATAAAAATCACTTGTTAAGTGTTATTTTATCGGTAGCTAAAATACACTTGTACACCTTCTTTTTATCCCAAAAGTTCTATCTTGTAACCTGGTTACTGTGATAAGGGTAGATAGTAAACTTTTAGGAAAGCGTATTTTATACGTGACTAGAAGTGATATCCGGTCCAGCCATATTTTTACACCCTTATATTTTACTATTTTTATCTGCCAGTTCTAACAAGCTATATCTACAAGAGCAGATTAAATTTAGGCAGCGTAAGACAATATTGTTATTCCGGAATTCAGTCCTTTGATAGGGTATACATAGGAAGTATTTATAGACCCTACTACTCCACCTGTCCCTTATAACTTTGTTATCTATCCTTTTTTGAGTCCCAAAAACTTTGTCACTTTCCCTTTTAATCAATGAATTTGTGATTCATGTCATTTCTCTCTCCTCTTCACATATCTCAACCACACAGTTTTTACTTTATTATATCACGTGCCGGTCAAACAGGCAAAGTATTGAGGGACAGAGGGAGTAGTATTCTAGGAGGAAACTGATACATTAAATGCTATTAATTGAGAGTCCAGTAATGCCTTGGACGTTGTGCAATGATTGCTTCCCCTAGATCCACGTTTCTTCTGTTATTCTTGCTTGCTGCCTGATAGCAAAGCGCGAATGATAGTCTGCCACATAAGCCCTAGGAAGAGTCCGACCTCGCTAGAACTCCGCCCAAGCTCGAGGTCTGCTGTCCAGCCTGGTCTGGTTGTGGGTTCCTTTTGCGGGTGGGACTCCTAGTTAAGCCCAACGACTAATTAATATTAACCCCATTTATAGGTTAATCTCGTTGAGGGCTTAATCCCGTTAAAGGCTGATCCCGTTGAGGGCTTAATTCCGTCAAGGGTTGATCCCGTTTATGGGCTTTATTATAAATTCGCATTTGGACCATGGTCGTAGTCCATGGTACCATCACATATACTATCGTATATCTTACTAAACTATTAAAAGGCCTAAGAATGTTAGTTGGCCTGTTTCCGTTTAAACGGTGAGGCACTGTAGCTCCGAACTTGGGAATAACTAACGTGACCATTTCCGTTTCAGCTTCTCCGCGTCACCCCTCTCCGCAGCCAGCACAAGCTTTCCGCCAGTGTCCTGCTGTTTACCGCACCTGCTTCTCAATGGTGGTGTGCTTCCCACCGCTCAATCTTTCTCCCAGGTATACATCTAAATGTCCCCTCGCCCGATTCATAAGCTAGGGTTCCTAGGAAGCGTCACAGCCCATCGTCCGCCGAAGGAGTTGCCCTTGATGTCAATCTGTCGTATCTTTCGCCGCAGACCAGACCTCTCATCCTTCCTCAACCCTCTGCATCAGGCGATCAAGTGAGTCTTTCTTGCGGATGGGCGACCAGACCTCTCATTGTAAGTCTTTCCGCAACCAGACTCTTTGATTTCTTCTCCTACTTCGCTTCTCTTTTGTTTCTATTTCATTTCATTTCAAGGTAGGGTTCTCATCTTCGCCTCTTGGAACCTACACAACAGTACTCATCAAATTTGTAGGGATACAAACTTTGTAGGGATACAGTTTCTATGTATCCGCATATCAATCCATGAGTAAATTTGCTGTCATTAATGAGTATTGGCATGTAGGGAGGGAAATTTCAGCAGCAACAACCTCAACTTTTGACTTTCATCTCCGCTTTAAAAACTCCCCAGCTCGATTCTCATTATCGCACCTCCCCGACGAGAACAATCAGGTATGCAAGTTGCGTGTATGTTAAGATTTTAGTTACGGGTTGGTCATTTCCGGCTTACCACTCTGATTCTTGGCGAAGATGACTTGAAATCGGAGTGGATTAAGTTTTCCGACCAAAGAAGGTCGTATTTGCTCATTTCTTCAGATTCTATCCGTCTGTTCTTTCTTCTTCTACAGCAACAGAAGCTATGGAGGAAGATTTAGGCACCCAACTTTGCTGTCTAAAATACTCAGTGGAGGATAGGTGAGTGGCTCTCTTTCATGTGTTTTTTTAGAACTTGTCAATAGAGTTATAATATCAATTTAAAACTTGATTTATTCTTTACATATGATTTTTTTCTGAAAAGTATTGTGATAGTTATTATTTATTGCATAACTACAATGTGATAGCTTTAAGGTTTTGTGAAACAATCACTTGCTATTAGTTTAGACAACTTATGATGCCTTTGTTATTAATAAAACCCTTGTTGCTATTTAAGAAATGAATTGTACACTCTCTGTTATGGCTAAACTAAATATCCAACCTTTTGTTATAATCAAACTGAAAAAATACACTTTTTTATTATGAATGTTGATATCCCATTATAACAGTTTTTTGTGTTTTCAGTTGAAATTCAGTTTTATGAGTTTGGCTTAAGCTTTGTCTGTTTGTGCTTGGCTTAATTTACTTTTCTGTTCTTACTTGGCTTAACTTAATGCTTTAATGACCAAGTAAAGGATATAAAAAGCATTCTCGCGATTCTTAACTTGTCTAGGTCCCAATTTGACCTTTTTTTGCCTACTGTAGGTTCTAATTTGACATTTTGGGTGTTATCATTTAATTTCAAATTCTTGATTTGATTTGGCGTCACATTTCATATCTGATTCTTGGACTAATGTGGTATAAATAAATTAATGAAGGGAAAAGGATTCTTGGCTAGGGACAATCACTGGTCATTACAGAGGTATGCAAATCAATAGGAGCAGATCACTCCACTAAGCAACTATTCGAAGCTCTATCTTTAGTGGGATGATCATGTCTCAGACCACTCCACTCGCTGTCCGATCTCTCCTCTTCCTGCCTCCATATTCTCGCTTGACGGTTGCACCCCAAACAATTTGGTTAGCTCTCTGCTATTTTCCAGTTCCACTTGTACTCTGTGAAACGTTAATACAAGTTTTTGCTTGGTCTATGCCTGTCTGGATAATGACCGTGAAAGGGTTGATCTTGTTGTCTAGAAGCTCATCACCTCTCCACACCTGGTATGCTTCTGAAATTTCTCTTATGAAGGTTTCGCTTTTTTAAGGTCAGGACATTAGCTACAATTCCCTGGTTTCGTCAAATACGAGTGTTTACAATTTTTTATTTGTGCTAGAATTTTATTTCAAGCTGTAACTAACAATGAATGGTTGAAGTATACAAGAATGCCCCAGATCGTAGGATTAGAAGATGGACAGTTTCACAGCTTTAGTGAACTTGATTTGAGGTCAACTAGCTCTTCTTTTCTCTTTTCCGATGGCATGTGCTTGATGGTCTTTTTGTTTTGTATTTAATTTTTCGTTGCTGCTGGATCTGATAAAAATTTCACACTGCCTTTTATCTTTTGAATGAATTAGCATTAAATATATGCTTTTGCCATATTTGCATATCGTTGTAACTCACTTTGAGGCTTTGAGCATAACTTTGTGAAGTGCACAATTGCTTATGAAGGAAAACTTTGGTGATCTCATCTCATAATTCATATTATTGTATAATGATTTGTTTTTTCATGAGTAGAGATGATATATCATTGATTTGATGAATTAGTCTATTGCTTGATTAGACCATATAATTCTATTGAAGTTGAATTTTAGAACCCCTTTTCTCCTTAATCTAATTAGCTTTTATAGAAGTGTAACTTTATTTAAGAAAAAACCGTGTACATGTTTAATTTATGAAAATAATCACCGCACACTTGGGGGCCGATAGCTTTGGATGAGGTAAATCATACGTAGTATATGTTAAACTTCTACACTTGCATCACATATAAACTGCTACCATCGTTCATGGATAATTGATTCACTTGAATTATTATTGTGTTTTGTCATTTCCTGCTCCAAAACAGCTTCATTAGTTAGGTGTAATTTCTGATTCCCCTTCTACGATTAAGAATATTGAACTGTTGTTTTATACATGTATTTTTGTGCTTAAAATTCTAATATTATGAATATAACTATTGTTTTATACATGTATTTTGCTATTGAATGTTGTTTCATTCTTACATTTTCCTTTTATGGTTTGGAGGTGTTTCAATTTAATACAATTAAATCTCTTTAGTATTCCAAAATTTAATCTCTAGGTGTACATTGCTATTTGTTTTCTTGGCATTTCACTAGAATTGAATACGGGAAATTTCAGCAGCAGCAACCTCAACTTTTGAGGATAGTGAAGGTTGTTCAGAACCCAGCAGAGCACCGTGCCTATCGCATAGCATTTGAGGTTATAGATAAGAAACCTCGTCAAACTGATGCCTACTTTGCTAATGTTAGTATCGTTATAATTATAATTACTATTATTGTTAGTGTCGTTATAATTATAATTACTATTATTATGATTTATTCCTTTGCAGATTTAGATGGAAAGACAAACTGTACATTATGGTGAATGCAAATGGCGGATTAAACCAGATGAGATTTGGGGGAAGAACACATTTGTATGGAAAAAAGTGAAAGGTATTGTCCTATTTTTAGACCAAGAGTATGATCAGATTTTACCTCTGCAACATACTCTGTATTAGAAGTGAATTCCTTCTTTGCAACCCTAGATGTAATCTTCTCCTAGATGTTTCTACTATAGTATACCATCAAGAATTACTATTACTGTGTATATTTTTATGTGTTGTTTTTTTTTAGAGAAAACTGGTTTCCGTATAGTTTAAAATCTAACTACTTTTTTGAGTTCAGGTGAGTTCTGAAGCATCATTTATAGATGATATTTGAAAACAAGACGGCTGAAATACTATAAGGCTCCTCCTTTTTAAAAGGGCTGTGTGAGTCATTATATTTCTTATTATCACTAACAACATGGACATTTTCTCTTCTATTAACTTGAGATTAGTTTTTTCAAAACTAATTGTGACTTCTAAGTAATGAATTAAATTTGCTCTTAATGTAGAGATATTTTGTTCTTCTTTTGTGGATGTTGGTGTTCTACAAAACTGTGAGTGATCATTAATTTGAATGCGAGTGGCAATTTTGTACAGTTTCTTGTTTATTTTTTTATAGCACACTAGATTGCTGCATAGAAACAAAAATACTATGAACCTTTTGAGTGATGATCGGGAAAGTTAAAACCATATGGCTAATGATAGTTATTTTTGTGAGGTTGTAATCTTCCTATTATTCTGCTCTGGTCTGCTTTTCTTCTTCAAGGTATTTTATTTTTTTCAATATGATTTGCTCTGGGGTCTTCAAATCATTCTCATTGACCTTTTTTCTTAATTGTAGTTCTAGCTTTTATATTTTGTAATTTAGTCATCTATGTAATAGCACTACAAATTTTAAGACAAAAAGTCCGCCCCAAAGCTTATCATCATCGAGACGTTTTGATCTGCATATTACGTCACATATAAGGATCAACCTTGACCTTTCACCTATATAAATCTTGGCCTGTCTCTTATTTCATTTATAGGAATGCCCGAGAACATAGGATTAGAAGATGCGCAGTCCCCCAGATGCAGCTGAATTTGACCAGAGGTCAACTAGCTCTTCTTTTCTCTTTTCCAATGGAAGGTGCTTGATGATATTTCGTTCTATTCTTAATTTTCCGTATATCCAAACTTTTACGGTACTACACTTACATCACATATCAACTGCCACCATCATTCCTAGCCTTCAATTATATGTTGACTTAGGTAATTGGTTCACTTGAATGATTAACTTCAATTTATTTTGTTTTTAGTTTTTTTCTCCTGCTCCAAAACAACTTCATCTGTTAGGTTTAATTTGTGATTACCCTTTCGAGATCAACTTGACTGCTACATTTCGTGATTAAATGTATATCATGTATAAAGAAACTTGTACTGTTTTAAATTTATAATGCTTAAAAATCTCAATATCATGAATATTACTATTGTTATGTACATTTTCGTTTTAGGGTCTGCAGGTGTTGTTTCCCCTTTTCTTAGGAGAGTAAAATACCAGATGCCTATGATCATTAAAAAGTCAGTTTAAGAAAAAGTGAAAAACACTATAAGCCTACTTTAGACTTATTTTAAATAACTTGATAAATATTTTCTTCTGACACAGCAGAGCCTAACTCCTTAGATTTATCCACCATATGAGTGCTCTTCTGAAACAGAAGAGTCCTCTCTAAACAACAGTATAGTCCTTTTACCTGTGATGGGAATGGGACCAAACTAACTCCCTACACATTTTATATAAACTGTCTCATATTAAACATGTGTATTTCTTTCATACCAAATTGCTCATATGTTAGTTAACTCCATTACTTGTAGCCGAACATCAGAATTTGGATTGATGAAAGTTTACTGATGGGGAAAAGTAGTCTAGCTTTCTCATAAACTCAAGGAGCTTATCTAAATGCCATGGTAAGAAAATCTAATCATATTACCCCTCTCGAAAACTTATAACACTATTTTGGGTTGTAATATAGCATCATAGATGCTCTGATAGAGTGTTTGCACACTATTCCTATTTCTTGATTAATAAATCATTGTACTTGAGAAATAAATAAAAACTCTATTAATAGCTTGTTTGCCACAGACAATGTCGTTTTAAGTACCAACTTGGCCAGGTACATGCTTTTGGGATGCCTACTGGAGGCTGCAACATTACCCCAATGTTTTAGGTTACTTATCGTTTATGGGATGATTATGCAACTTAGCTTTCGAAGAAGAGTTTAAAAAAAAAAAATAATTAAAGTTTTAATCGTACTAATGTAGCAAATGTGATTTCGTATGGCCGTGCATTTTATGTATGGACTCACTTTCAAAACTCTTATTAAGTTGACATCAAATGCAAAACTTTTAGAGTTTTTTTTAAACTCTAAAAAAGGCCTCAATTTTCTTTAAATTCAGTGAAATGCAAATTAAAAAGCTGTTGCAAATTCGGTGAGCTAGCTACATTCACTCTTGCTATTTTGCTAAACTTTGTTGTGCAAAGCACGTACGTCTGCTTATGTTTTGTTTTTATTCTTTCTTGCGTTGATGCTTTCGCTAACTATTTTGCCCCGTATTGGGCTATGACCTCACACAACACGTTTTAGCGCAGCTTTATTGCTTGTTTTTCATTGTTGGGCATGGGATTTTGCGCAAAGCACGCAAACCACCTTCGTCCCCACCGCGACTACTCCGGTCAGCCATCAAGATGACAGATCTGGCACCGGTGACCCTAAGGACGGGAGATCCGGCACCGGCGGCCTCAAAGACAGGAGATCCGGCACCGGCGGCCCCAAGGACTGTAGATCCGACACCGGCGGCCCAAAAAATGCCAGATCCGGCACCCCAACCCCCACCAGCCCCAACCACCCTCCCACAGCTCTTTCACAACCGCATCGCACCACATCCCGCCCCTAGTCGTCGCATCGTCGCCCAACACCACTCTCACGCAACCACTAGCCCATCGTGACCAGGCCACTTCTGTCGCTGCTCATCGCCCTTAGCCTCCATCGCCGACACATACGGTAACCCTAGCCGCCGCCGAGGACGGCGGATCCAGCAGCGACGACGGCCATCGAGGAAGTCTGAAGCAGCGACGTCGTACATCGATCTTCGTTACTAGTTGATTTCAGCGATGAAAGAAGAAGAAATGAGAAGAGAGAGATGAAAGAAGAAGGAATGAGAAGAGAGCGACGAATTTTGTTTGGGGAGATGGGCCGACGCAAATACGCAGGTGCAGCGTGGCTGGAGTCTTTTTTAAAGAGTCATATTTCTGGAAAATGTAAAAATTGTCATATTTTTGGAAATGAAAACTCTAGTAGTAATATATAGGCCATTATTTCAACCTTTAATTGGGACGGAAATAATATTATATAGAGCTAAAGATATTTATTTTATAATAGAGCGTGATACAAATAAAAAGAGTATTTAACGTAAAAAGTGTGAAATTTTCACTTTTAGTTCGCAACACTACACATTTAGATTGAACTAATGCATTTTTTGTGGTGGGCAATTGACCACTTATATGGGAAAAAACACCGCGTTTTTAATCTAATCTTTTACATTGCAGACGTTTTCAGAGCCATCCGATCTCAAATTAAATGCACAAAAAGCATTCTCATTTTATACATTTATATACCGTTTGTTGAGCCTATTTTTTGGCTTATCGGGCTTATCAGCCAACTTTTTGTTCAATCATGTAACTTTTGATTTAGCGTGCTGAATTATGTAATCATAAGAAAAGCTAAGATTGAAGTTGCTTTTCTGGTTGCATTTGCTGAAGTTACTGTAGTGGGACATTTTAACTTTTTTCATATAACTTTTTCTTTGAACCCGTTTGGAAATACTCAAATCGGTTGTATTGGCTGAGTCTCCTGATATTTATGATGTTGTGACTAAAGTTGATGGAATCGCTGATGTGGCCCACGTGGCAGTCCATGTGGATTTATTCTTTTTTTCCCTCTCTTTCTTTTTCTCTTTTTCTTTCTCCTCTATTTTTCTCTCTTTCCCTCTTTCTTCTCTTCTACGCAGGCCTCTGACTTCTGCTGCCCAACAACACACTGCCGGCCACTGCACTTGTGTTGCCGGCCACTGCACATGTGTCTCCGTCCACCGAACTCACTGCCCTGCGCCATCACTCAATTGGCGGCCACCACGCTTGTGCTGCTGTCATTGAAGGCTTTTCAGTTCACCTGCGCGTCGTCGCCAGATATCGCTGCCCTTAGCCGGTGGGCTCCACTGCACCTATCCGCCGGACACCATTGAGTTGGAGGTCACCCTTCATCGCAGTCCGCCACCGCCCTACACCGGAGTCGGCCGCCGCTCTTTACTCCACTTATATGATACCCTTCACTCCAGGAATCTGGCGATGGCCAGCCAAGAACTCCGACTCCAGCAATTGAAGTTGCAATCCCCCATAAATGGTCTTCCCAGTACCCCGAGGTGGCGGCCGGAGTCCTTGGCGATGGGGGCAAAAATTGAAATCATCCCCACTGCCCAAATTAAACCGGTCTATGCGAAGGTGACAACTCCGGTACCTTTCTAAAAAATGAGGCACCGTACCTACCATTCATTTAATTGGACCACACCATTTTATCATTTTTAATTTAGATTTAAATAATTCAACTGCTACATTCTCATTGGTTCACGTGGATAAAGGTATAGTACGTTATGGGTACCATAGAATCTATCCTATGCGAACTGTGAAGTGGAATAAGAAAGGAAAGGGAGAAAAAAAAAAAGAAAGAAAAAGAATAGGAAAAAGGTGACAACTCCGGTACCTTTCTAAAAAATGAGGTACCGTACCTACCATTCATTTGATCGGACCACACCACTTTATCATTTTTAATTTAGATTTAAATAATTAAACTGCTACATTCTCATTGGTTCATGTGGACAAAGGTATGATACCTTATGTGTACCATAGAATCTACCTAGGAAAAAAGTCCAACTGGGCTTCCACGCAGAGTGCCACGTGGGCCGTTAACAGGGAACTTCAAACTTACCTGCTAATGCGCTTAATTGATCGATTTTTAAGAGTTCGGGTGTCTAATTGGGTGTTTTTCGAGTACGGGACCTAATCGCCATTTTCGCTATAGTATGTGGACTTATTTGATAGTTTTCCCTAAATATATTTTTAATATAGCTTTTTTTACGAAATCTTCATGAATTCCAATAGAATTAGCCAATGCAGCCGATTTGTGCATTACAAAACGGGCTCTTAGACTACTTTTTATTTGATCCAAAATATATCGCTTCATTCATATCACCATATGCATTATAAGGACTACGACTCTAAAGATAAATATAAGTAGAAATCTAGAAGTTTAAATTTACCTAAAAAATAAAGAATGTATATATGGAGTACTAATCACACTAATTTCCATAATGAAAATGACAATATTATTACTTAAGAAGATGTGAAATTATATTTTATTCATTTCCATTTATGTAAACTACATAGTATATAATAATATTTTTATTTTAAAAAATGTTCTTAATAATTACCCTATTAAAATTTTGCACAAAAATGTTATAAGAAAAAATATTTTGAATATATTCTTTTTTTATAAATACTTTAAAATATGGAATATTATACATTTCTTATAATTTTAAATTGGAACATTTCATTTTTCTAACTTTACGTTAATTCTGCATTTTTATGTTTCTAATTTTTTTTGTAAATTTTTTATTTATATTAAATGTCTTTAATTTACTCTCAAATTTCTAGTGTTTGTTTATATGTTCTAACCATTAATTTGATTTGTAATGAATCCTTGATATTGTTATTAATCAGAGTCATTAAGTAATAGTTCATTAATTAAGACAACAAAATTTCACTTCTTTTGACTCCAAAATAGGATCATCTTTTAGAAAATGTAATAGGTGTTTGCCACTGAGACTCACTTTTATAGAAGTCCCCCCAAAATTTAGTATGTAGCAGTACTTATAGGAGTTATAGGTTGGTTTCTCCTATAACTCCTATAAGTACTGCTACATACTATATTTTGGGGGGCTTCTATAAAAGTGAGTCTCAGTGCTAATCACCTATTATATATATATATATTAAATTTGATTTTTGGCACTGAGACCCACTTGATCTTTAGTATGTGATGTCTTAAATTTGATTGGTGCAGGTGATGATTAACACAAACATGAAAATAAGCTCACTAGCCTTGAATAAGTTTAAAGACTTCAAACTTCTTTCAAAACAGGGTATGCATATATGAGATCTACAATGGTCTTCTGAAGTCGGCTGCTGATATCTAAGAGTTGGGCAAAGAACTTAGCTCAAAGAAGGTAAATCTGAAGATCTTGAGATGTCTGTCCTTTCAATGCAAGGTCACTGCTACGAGGGATAACAGAGATCTCAAAATGTTGCCAAGATCTGAATATCCTTGATTTCATAATGGGGAGCATAATAAGTCTATATAATAAATAAATAATATATATTAATCAAACTATTTTCCATAAAAGAACATAATCATAAAAGATTATAACCCACATCTATCTGACCATCTGTGTTTTTTCACCCTTTATGTTGCGACCAGTCTTATTAATTCCACATTCAATTTACTTTGACCAAATTTTATAGTCGAGTACTAATTATTATCATTATTGTACTTAAAAATGTTTGTAGCCAGATTTATCACACTTGAATATAATACAGAACCCCATTTTATATTTTAAAATTAGAACATTTCATTTTTCTAACTTTATTATGTTATGTCTCTTAATTAGTTTTGCATGTCTCTTAATTATGTTTCTAATGCTCTTCTAATAATTTTATTTATTTATTTGCGTTGTCATTTCTCTAATGTTTTACTTATACTCCGTAACTTATAACAATTAGATAGATTTGTATATTTAATCATTAACTTTCATTAACTATTAAGTAATTAAATAATACTTCATTAATTATAACAACAAATATTCACTTCCTTTGACTCCAACTGAATTTCCATTTGGATTTCCACCATTTTCTCTTTATTTGGATTTTCACCAATTCTCTTAATGTATAATTATAAATATATGTGATTGATTGATCAATTATTTACTGAAAGAGTTGTATTTTTATAATATGCAATTTTATGTGTGTTTATTGTTTAAATTGAAAATTGTAAAATTTAGGACTTTTGCTAAGTATCTCCCAATAATCGTAGGTGCTATGGATTTTGCATACCATCAATACGATGTAATAAAATCCAACGCTTTGGTCCTAAAATTATGTTATTAAAAATGAAAAAAGCTAATAACGTTGAAAATCTACCTGCAATGTAAGAATGTTTAGAATAATTTACCTATATATATGATAGATAAAAAATAGAGAGAATTCCCTAAATAGGAGTAAAAAAGTTTTGAAATTCCAAAATAGGAGTATCATGTTTTTTATTCCTTGAATAGGAGTAAATTTCTGCCAAGTTTGGCATTACTAAGCTTTAAAACATGGCATTTTTTTCCAAACTTGGCAGATTACTCCTATTCAGGAAATAAAAAATATGATACTCCTATTTTGGAATTTCAAAACGTTTTTGCTCATATTTAGAGCAATTTCTATAAAAAATAAACAATGTTCTTAAATATTACTATCACCACAATATTTTTTTTCATAATCTTCTGTATTTACTAAATGAATTGAAGCTCTTTATTTATGATAAAATAATAGAAATTGCTCTAAATAGGATCAAAAACGTTTTGAAATTCTAAAATAGGAGTATCATGTTTTTATTACCTGAATAGGAGTAATCTGCCAAGTTTGGACAAAAATGTCATGTTTTAAGGCCTAGTAATGCCAAACTTGACAGAAATTTACTCCTATTCAAGGAATAAAAGACATGATACTCCTATTTTGGAATTTTAAAACTTTTTTACTCCTATTTAGGGAATTCTCTCTAAAAATAACATCATTATAAAGAAAATATATAACAGTCCTATTTAATAATGCCGTTATGTTTCAGTTTAGGCTATTTTTTCATATGTTTAACTAGATAAAAGAATTAGAAATAAAAAATAAAATAGAAAATGTGCAAACAGACAATGAGGAAGACTTTTTCTTTTTCCTGCTTTTTATTGTTCTTTTTGCAATAGCTTGCGCTTCCCCCCACCTCTTTTAAGCTAAGGAGTACTAGAAACCGGTGGGCATAGCTCAACTGGTAGCAAGAGAGTTCCATAAGTGTTAGGTCCCGGGTTCGAATCCCGTCAACTGCGACGAAGGGTTACTATGCTAAAAATGCATAGAGCTTTTGCAAGTACTGGAGACAGAGCCTCACTCTCTATCTATCAGATTGAGATTTAGGATTATAGTTCAATTTACATCCTTCCAACGTACCGTCCGGTCGGGGTTGGGGATCCCTTAGAGATGAGGGATGGAGTGTCATCCTTTTTTTAAGCTACTAATACTATTTTACTTTACTGTTGGCT